GTTTCTTACTGTCCTCCAATATAAAGGGAGTTCTCTTATCATCCACCTGTCAGACCTACACAAGACATGCATTAGCGGTGGCGAGGGCTTTCGTCCTCTTTGAGTCAAAGACGGACACAATGCATCTGACTAATCTGGTTTTCTTAGATAGTATTCATTTGTATCAATTTGACTGTATGATCTGGTTGAACTGTAAAGTGGCCTTGAGACTGATTTTGTTGTGAATTTCGGCCGCTTTATTAATATACTGAACTTGATAACTCGAAATCTGGTTGTTTGGAAACTGACCAAATAATTTTTTTCCACCATATTTTGCAAATTAAATTTTTTCATGTGAAATAATTTCATCCCATTGTCACAAGTATATAATACAATTTATTCCTGAGGGACTAATTGTTTATTGGTGTTTGAAACATTTAAACATGGTGCGTTCTACACCTATAACCAACTTATCTAGTTATGAATAGGTCCCTGTCTTACACCCAAATTATTTACATAGTTTGCTAATGCTCCATTATTCTGCTCTGGGTTTCTATGGCGCGTCTTTAAGGGTCTTTATTTCTACTCAAGGTTGAATCTGAGGATAGGGGTCTGATATATGAGGCTACTATAGCTTTATTCTGTAAGGGAAACAGTTTTTTCTTTTTTTCTGACAAAGAAATATTTAATAGATCAAACCTTTCTCTAATTCCATAGTATGGGTTTAATAAAAGTTTACTCACAGTTTAAAATGTCCTTTAATCTGAACAAATCCAAATGAATAGTCTGGGTCAGTAGCTCCCAAATGCGGAAGCGTGCCCCCTAGGGGGAGTTTAGTGTAATAGCAGGGAGCGTAATAGAAATAAAGGAAGTAAATGGACCATTAGGAGTGTATTTTTATATTGATAACATCCAGAAAAAAAATAGAAACCCCAATAACTAGTAAAATAAAGATTTGAATTTAAAATACATTTTAAATTTTGTGGTAGTCTCGTGATTTAAAGGATATTGTAGCTTTTTTTCTAAACCTAGCTGTCAGCAGAACGCACACGAGAACCAGCAAAATTGCCTCCCTTTACGACAATCGCTCCTCAGTGTGACTGTGAAATAACAAAAAAGGTCCCCACAATGATGCCGAGGACCATATACACACATATATACATAGATATAAATATGTATGTTTGCACAGATTGATGTTTTTATTGATTAAATCTACTTAAACCTGACTAACTCACACAGGCACATCCAGCAACCTAAAATAAAGCATTGAGTATTGTGATTTGATGTTCCTTAATTAATGTTCCTGGTCTAATGATTTTTTTCCTCACTGTTCCAGACGCCCCGCCTCCATCTGATCCTGCCCTGGAGTTCTGGATCTTGATCGCGGATCAGGTTGATTTCCCTTTCTATATGAACATAGGGCTGTTCTCGGATGATGTAGAGGAGGATTTAGCTGTTAATGTGGAGTCTGATGATGAGTTTAGGGTCGTAGATGTGGTGATTAATGACGAGGAAGAGATAGAGGATCATGATGATGAGGAGGATGATAATGAGGCAGAGGTCCCAGAAGGGGTTGTAAATGAGGAGCAGGAGATAGAGGGTTCTGATGATGATGAGGAGGATGATAATGAGGTAGAGGATTCTGATGAGGATGGGTCTTTTTGTAGTGAGTCTCTTGAGGCGTCTAGGGAATTCTCTGGGTATGATATCATGAGCTCTGAGGAAGAAGACGGTGAAGAAGATGACCCCCTTCAAATACATCTTCAGTTCATTGAGACGGTTTCCCATTTCATGCCGCCGCCAGAGGACTCCTCGGAGAGTGAAGAGGACCACCGACATCCACGGCCCGGCCCTTCTTCCCGGAGGAGGAGAAGAGAGGAAGATGACGTAGAGGAGCCCCCTATGAAGCTTTTTCGTCGGGATCTGTGAGAAGAGGAATTTCATCAAGAATCTTCCTTTAACTCCTTCAACAACTTCTCACAATGAAGATTAGCTGAGGCTTCAGCAGAAGAACCAAACATTTTACCATCTTGCTTTGGATCATCTTGTAGGAGGAGTTAGATGGATTTTCTTGGTGATTTTAATGACGATTGGAGGTGGAAACAGTCATATCTAGATATAATTTATTGATTGTGTTTATATCTGGCAGGTCTAGGGATGCCTCAGGTAGCGTCTAGCACCGTGGCTTTTCTTTACCCCGCTGCTAGATTTTGTTTTTTAGATGTTAAGGAGTCTGGCAGGTCTAGGGATGCCTCAGGTAGCGTCTAGCACCGTGGCTTTTCTTTACCCCGCTGCTAGATTTTGTTTTTTAGATGTTAAGGAGTCTGGCAGGTCTAGGGATGCCTCAGGTAGCGTCTAGCGCCGTGGCTTTTCTTTACCCCGCTGCTAGATTTTGTTTTTTAGATGTTAAGGAGTCTGGCAGGTCTAGGGATGCCTTAGGTAGCGTCTAGCGCCGTGGCTTTTCTTTACCCCGCTGCTAGATTTAGTTTTTTAGATGCTAAGGAGTCTGGCAGGTCTAGGGATGCCTTAGGTAGCGTCTAGCGCAATGGCTTTTCTTTACCCCGCTGCTAGATTTAGTTTTTTAGATGCTAAGGAGTCTGGCAGGTCTAGGGATGCCTTAGGTAGCGTCTAGCGCCGTGGCTTTTCTTTACCCCGCTGCTAGATTTAGTTTTTTAGATGCTAAGGAGTCTGGCAGGTCTAGGGATGCCTCAGGTAGCGTCTAGCGCCGTGGCTTTTCTTTACCCCGCTGCTAGATTTTGTTTTTTAGATGTTAAGGAGTCTGGCAGGTCTAGGGATGCCTCAGGTAGCGTCTAGCGCCGTGGCTTTTCTTTACCCCGCTGCTAGATTTTGTTTTTTAGATGTTAAGGAGTCTGGCAGGTCTAGGGATGCCTCAGGTAGCGTCTAGCGCCGTGGCTTTTCTTTACCCCGCTGCTAGATTTTGTTTTTTAGATGTTAAGGAGTCTGGCAGGTCTAGGGATGCCTTAGGTAGCGTCTAGCGTCGTGGCTTTTCTTTACCCCGCTGCTAGATTTAGTTTTTTAGATGCTAAGGAGTCTGGCAGGTCTAGGGATGCCTTAGGTAGCGTCTAGCGCCATGGCTTTTCTTTACCCCGCTGCTAGATTTAGTTTTTTAGATGCTAAGGAGTCTGGCAGGTCTAGGGATGCCTTAGGTAGCGTCTAGCGCCGTGGCTTTTCTTTACCCCGCTGCTAGATTTAGTTTTTTAGATGCTAAGGAGTCTGGCAGGTCTAGGGATGCCTCAGGTAGCGTCTAGCGCCGTGGCTTTTCTTTACCCCGCTGCTAGATTTTGTTTTTTAGATGTTAAGGAGTCTGGCAGGTCTAGGGATGCCTCAGGTAGCGTCTAGCGCCGTGGCTTTTCTTTACCCCGCTGCTAGATTTTGTTTTTTAGATGTTAAGGAGTCTGGCAGGTCTAGGGATGCCTTAGGTAGCGTCTAGCGCCGTGGCTTTTCTTTACCCCGCTGCTAGATTTAGTTTTTTAGATGCTAAGGAGTCTGGCAGGTCTAGGGATGCCTTAGGTAGCGTCTAGTGCCATGGCTTTTCTTTACCCCGCTGCTAGATTTAGTTTTTTAGATGCTAAGGAGTCTGGCAGGTCTAGGGATGCCTTAGGTAGCGTCTAGCGCCGTGGCTTTTCTTTACCCCGCTGCTAGATTTAGTTTTTTAGATGCTAAGGAGTCTGGCAGGTCTAGGGATGCCTTAGGTAGCGTCTAGCGCCGTGGCTTTTCTTTACCCCGCTGCTAGATTTAGTTTTTTAGATGCTAAGGAGTCTGGCAGGTCTAGGGATGCCTCAGGTAGCGTCTAGCGCCGGGGCTTTTCTTTACCCCGCTGCTAGATTTTGTTTTTTAGATGTTAAGGAGTCTGGCAGGTCTAGGGATGCCTTAGGTAGCGTCTAGCGCCGTGGCTTTTCTTTACCCCGCTGCTAGATTTAGTTTTTTAGATGTTAAGGAGTCTGGCAGGTCTAGGGATGCCTCAGGTAGCGTCTTGCGCCGTGGCTTTTTTTTACCCCGCTGCTAGATTATAATTTAAGTTGTAAATGTTACGAATTTTCCTTTAGCACAGAAATCTGAGCAGAGACATACTAACGATTTCTAAAAGGTATGAAACATGAGAGCTGGTTAAGGCAGAAACAATCTAACATGCTCTACGTCTAATGACAGAGCTGGACCATCTCCTAGCTAACAGAAGCCAAACCAAACAATCCAACGGTTGATTTAAAAACGAGGTTTGAACAGAAGAAACACAGAATGGAGGCAAATGAACTAAATTAAATCCTGGAGGCAAACCAAACCGAGGCAACAGCCGGACATCGCTGCTGGAGATGCATCGAAACCTTTGAGGAGTGAGACATCGCTGCTGAGGACTAATACCCAGAGGTCAAACTATGATCCTAAAGGTCTAAAAGTGAAGATGAGGAAAACTTCAAGTCTAGAGGCAGAGGGACAAGGCTGTAGTGGAGCAGAGGTCTCTAACTCCAGTCCTCTGCAGCAGCTTTTCTGCAGCTTTCAGGTGCATCTCTCCTCCAAAACACCAGGATCAAACAGCTCTACGGAGCTGAATGACTGATGAGGGAATTCAGACGTTTGATTCAGGTCTGAGGGAGAAGAGATGTGACTAAAAGCTGCAGCATAGCAGCTCTGGAGGAGTGGAGCTGGAAAGCCCTGATCTATAGAAGGACAATGCTGCTGGAGACCAACTGGATCTAGAATAGAACAGTGGCAAAGATTGCGGTGGTCACCAGTTGCACTGGTCTCTGGGATGATGGTGAGAAGATAAAGACGATGCTTGGAGGGACTCATTGATTTCAGAGCAGTTTGAAGCAGAGGACAGGACTGATTTAGAGATGTGGATTGTGAATGGCGCCGACTGTTAGATCCCGCTTTCAGCTGCTAGTTGATCTAGTTCTAGATGTTCCTCAGTTAGTTTTCAGGCCTAGTTTAAGGGAAAGAACCCTGTGCAGAAATATTCTCCATATGATCTAGGCCAGTTCTGACCGCAGTCTTCTGTGTTTTTGAATCCCATGTCGGACCGAGCCGCTGCAAGCTTTGGGCCGTCAGAAGATGCTGATGAGATCTACGGCGACCAAACCAGAGGAGCAGTAAACAGTGAGAGCATGTTCAGTAAGGAGACACAATAATCCATCATTTAAACATAAAGTCAACATTTCAGGTGGCCTCACTTAGTTTTTCATGTGTTTTCAGGAACTGTGGACGTCCAAAATCAGAAGTGCTGTGAGGAACCGGGACCTCTAGGATGCTGAGGAGCCTCCTAGTCCCTACCTGAGGACGGCACAGAGGAAAACACCTGCAGTAAGCCTTTATTAACACGACAGACAGACAACTCAAGCTTCCAGGCCGAACACAGAGAGACCAAGATGACTATTAGAACAACATCCTGCTCCAGATTTAAACTTGGTGTCAGGAAATTCTGTAGATTAATTTAGCTTCTTTTCTACAGGAGAAGCAGGTTGAATATGGAAGCAGCGTTCTATCAGTCGGATCTCAGTGGAACAGAGTCCATCCACACATGTCTGGAGGTATGTTGGTTGTTTGACTATAGAGGCATCACATGCAGACAGTTTCAGACTCTGAGGACGCTTTGCTTTCATTGATGAAGGAGCTGAAGCAGAGGATGGAGAACACAGACCACCAAGGAGGAGAAACATGGCTGCCCTGCTCGTCTCTCCAACATTCTGGAGTCCTGGAATGAAAAACGTCGACGACCCCGCAGCTAAACCATCAGTCTGCTCCACCCAGAAAGAAGGTAAAGAACCTTTATTGCTTCCAGATGTTCATCAGTAGTGGTGATGACAATAAAAACAGATCCGGAACAAATAGATTCAAAAGCCACAACCATCCCATGAAGGTGGTCTGACCTTTAATTCTTCTTTCCATCATGAAGGGATGTTCACCTCAATTTATCTCTATAACCAAAACTTTACCAGAAGCAGAAGTTCTGACTTTTCCATTAGACCACAGATAAACAGTTCAGAAGCAGCTTCTGATCCAATATGGGAGAATTTCCCCCTGAGTTATGTCTGAAGGGTTTTTAGAACTTATTAAAGCAAAGAAACGACTCTGATGAAACCGACTGTAGACTCCAACAAATGCAGCATTTTCAGGCATTTTCTCCAAGCATCCATTGTCTACAGTTATCACTGCTGTTAGCTTTAGCTTCTCCCTGTGTGTTTCCCTCTTCTCTCCGTTAAATTGACAGCTCTCTCAGTGTTTCTGTGTTTAAATGTCGCTGACTAGCGTGTTCTCTCACTAACTCCTGTTCTTCTCTTCCAGCAGATTTCTTCCGTCGTCTCCTCGTTGGACCGGCACCTCTTGGACGTCTGCTGTCCTGTTAAAGACCCGCTCTGCTGCAGTAGATGGGCGCTGACATGGAGCCGGATTCTGCTGGAGGATCCTTCCTGCTTCAAGCTAGTTTTCCTCTCTACTGTCACCACTTCATTGCTCAGGAGGAGGAAATGCTACAAGATTAATGACTGGATGCAGTTGGCTGAGCTTCCTTAGATTGAAGACATTCTCTAAACGCCAAAATAGACTTAATTTATCTTTACCATATTGTAAAAATGATCTAATTGGACTTTTATGATTGATTTCATTCTGTGTTTGTTCTGAATTGTGTTACATGTTTCTGTTTTAAAGCTCTCGTGTAAATTGCCTTGAGATTACTTGTTTTTATTTCACTAGACTAAATTATATTAAATCCTGCCTACTGGTTCTGTTTCTACTAAGGGATCCTTCCATTTATTCTATATTCACCTGTTATTTTTTACTATAATAAAGCTTTGATTCAAGTCATTTGAACAGGATCTGTTGGTCTTTTTTAGTAAATGTTGTTGAAATAAGTGGTTATAAATGGGTTCTTTATAAATAAACCATATTACTATATGTGAGGTAGTTTGGTCCAGGATCAGCAAGGTGACCAAAACAAACAGCATCAGCCTCCGGTTCCAGATTCCTCTGAGGATTTTTATTCGCCCTGAGCTTCCAAGATCTCAGTGCCTGTATAACCAGTTGGCAACACACCTGCACTGGAGTGGACCGAGCCACAATTAAACAGGTAGAAAACAAACAAAGTCTAAACAGAGAAACAAGAATAAAATGATTAATCAAATTTACAAACTCATGTACATAATGAAACGGTCTACAAAATAAACAATATGATAGAAGATAACTCAACAGTGTACTTTAAAGAAAAACAGAGCATTACTCCAAAGAAAACCCTCTAAATGGAAGAACCCAGCAAGGCACTCAAGTGTAATTTATGCATTTTATACTGTAAAATAATCAATATACCAACAAAGAAGTTTAACAAATATAGTTGCTACTCCTCTGTAGAAACAGAAATAGGTCTCTGGTGTCTTTTTAGACTGCTGAATGTTGTTTAAAATCAGGTTTAAAAAAAAAAATGCTGAATGTTGGAACCGTAAATCATTACCAGCCTTATGTTTACATTTGATCAGAGAGCTTTACGGAACCAAAAAAAAAAAAAAAAAAAAAAAAAAAAATATATATATATATATATATATATATATATATATATATATATATATATATATATATATATATATATATATATATATATATATATATATATATATATATATATATATATAAAGAGAGAGAGAGAGAAAGAGAGAGAAGCATTAAAAAAACTACACTGGAGTGATCACTATGCAGAATGATGAGAAACTGACATTTTTTATTGGGCTTTCCATTGCAAAATGCATTTTATATAGGTTGAAAAAACAAGGATTCACAAATACGTAATAGGACCTCTACAGTCATTTTCAATAATAAAATGCAAAAGTCAAAAATGGTGGATACAATGTTTTGCAAATAAATCCAATTACCGGGATATATTACACAAGACAAAAAGCATAGCAAGCTTGTGTGACATTTTGGTTTTATTTTCAATTTATAAAAAAACAAACAAATAATAAACAAGCATTGTTCCTAAACCAAAAAAGTGAAGAGAGTATAAAAAAATATAACAATATAATAAAAAATAATAATTATATATATACATATATATATAAATAAATAATAGATATAAAATAATACAAATAAATACTATAATAAGATTAAAAAAATTAAAAGAATTGAAAAAATAATTTGAAGACTATGTACACTCGCAGTTATTGTTTATACCCTACTTGATACAAACACTTTGTACTGCCCAAGGGGCTCAGGGTAACAGTCACGGTCCCTGCGACCATGCCCCAGTGCCCCATGCCGCCATATCACCAATTATCTGTAGGCTGCATGCCTGGAGTTTCTGTTACTTTCACCTGGCCCTACAACATCAGCCTCTGCCCGGATTTCCGCCCAAATTCTTCCGGCGAAACACAGAACCCCCTCTGACAGCACCATCTGCTCCATGTGTAGCATCATGGACATGCAAGAGTCGGCAGTTTCTCTTCCTTTCCATGTCTGTAGGCATCTCCTTGCAGTTTGTGCAGACAGCAGTGTTGGGCACGTTACTTTGAAAAAGTAATTAGTTATAGTTACTAGTTACTTCTCCCAAAAAGTAACTGAGTTACTAACTGAGTTACTCCACAATAAAAGTAACTAATTACTAGTAAAAGTAACTATTGCGTTACTTTTGCGTTTCTCGCCCCCGTAACCCCCACCACCCAGCCCCCACCTTCTCGCCGTGTGTTTCAAAGCCAGCTGAATAGAGTGGACGACAAAGACAAGAACCTGCAGAGAGTTTAGCATTTATTGCAACTCAACCTAAATGACATCAGGGGGGAACGCCATGTGAAGTTTTTTAACAGGGCGTTCAGATCTGGTGAAATTAATACCTGGGGATGTCTAATTCTGAAATCCTGTGTGTTTGGGTTGTTATAGATACTGCAACATCTATCTATCCATCTATCTATCTAGATCAGTGGTTCCCAAACTTTTTTGGCTCCAGGTACCCCTACACATTTTTCCACCCAGCTGTGGTACCCCTAAACTTATAATGATTATTTGACATCATTTGATAATAATTATTTTTCTGTCATTTTTTTCAAAGTAGTAAAGAAAACATAAAATGAAGCCTCTCGCCTTAGAATATATTTGCTTACATCAAAATAAATTTACAAAATTGTTAAAATGTAAAAATGTACATTCAATATAAAACTCTCATCAATCTATGAAAAAATCCTGCGGCACCCCTGTAGTGACCTCGTGGTACCCCTAGGTGCCACGGCACCCACTTTGAAAACCCCTGATCTAGATGTATAATCTGTGTGTGACATAAAATATGGATCTCCATCCCTGCCACAAAGGCCATCAAATAATATTTAAAATAAAAAATACAGTAGGTTGAAAAGGCAGAGTATCCATCCATCCATCATCCATCCATCCATCCATCCATCCATCCATCCATCCATCCATCCATCCATCCATCCATCCATCCATCCATCCATCCATCCATCCATCCATCCATCCATCATCCATCATCCATCCATCCATCCATCCATCCTTCCATCCATCCATCCATCATCCATCCATCCATCCATCCATCCATCCATCCATCCATCCATCCATCCATTTCTCCCTTTCTTCATCTAGGCTATCATTTGATCATTCATGCTCTCCATAGTTCTCCTGTGGCGCGAGCACAGGGCGACTGTTGCGCGTCTTTAGCGAGCATGCGCGTTTCCTGTCGCTTGTGCTGTGAATCGTGCCGCCTGCGTATGTGATGGAGAAACGCAGCTCGACGTAACACCGCTATTTCCATCTGGAAAACGCTGTTTTGCTGCTGGAGTCCTCCTCACTCTCCATCTCTCTGTGTGTGCTGTACGTTAACACCCACCAGCGGAAACACCCACCTACCCAACTGACAGACGGAATCTCACTATACATCAGCCATCCTCCCCTCTCTCATGACAAGGCGCGCACGAGTCCTATCATGAAAAAAGGTTAATTGTGCGACCTGAGCAACGCGCAGTAACGGGGTGTCTGCAATGGTAACTGCGTTATAGTTACAGTCAAAGTAATTAGTAAGATTACTCGTTACTCAAACAAGGTAACGGCGTTAGTAACGTCGTTACTTTGAACGCCGTTAGTCCCATCACTGTCCACCAGGAAGCGCCTGGTTCTGGTCCGCCTCCCCACACACCTGCAGAGGGTTACCTCATTAACGGAGGACTCTTAAGCAGCTGGTTGCCACTACCTCGACGCCAGAGAGTTTGCCAGTTTAGGGTACTCTAGCCAAGCTGAGTTTTGCTGAGTCGAAGTGAATTCTTGTCAACCTGAGTCTTAATCTTGTTTTTTTGTCTTTGCCTCTCGGCAGGAAGTCATCCTGCAAACTGGGTGTTTCGGACCTTCTCTCCCTGGAAGGATCAACAGAGCTTCAAACTGAGCTAAGGATTTAAACTGGAGGTTTGAATCAACTTTTCCTCAAGAGATCGTTTGAGCTTCACACTGAGCAAGGGATTCATCTCCACTACGACCCGTTCAAGTACTGCAGGAACTCTGAGTGGCAGTCAGCTTCTCTGTTCACCTACAAACAACCACATTCTGGGTAAAAT